CTCCTGGCCTTAAATCCACAGCCCTACAGGCTCCCAGGATGTGAACCAGACAAAGGCCAAAGGCAGAGCACGGGCTCCCAGGGTGAACTTGAAGGCTAGTTAGAACCACAGCCAGAGCTCACCCCAAACTGACCCTGGTCCAACAGACTGGGGGAGGATTTGGAAATGCCTCCCCACGAAACCCCCGGCCTGAGCAAAGACAGATCTTTGTGTAACTGAAGGCCCTTCAAACCCAAACTCCTTGTCATTAGTGCCATTTCATAAGACAGCACAGTGGAGCCAGTTAATTATCACCCTGGGGATGCACGTGGCCTGCCTCGGGGGGTGCCACAAAGCAGGCTGATGGACTTGCTCTCATGTAGTGCCAGGCGAGGCAGCTCTGGCAGAGCTGCTGCCCTGGGAATCCCGGACCAAGATCCACTCAGGGAGAAGCCTGGGCATAGCTGGGCCAACTCCCTAGGCAGAAGACAAGACCAGGCAGCCTGGCAAAGTGAGACTGAGCTCAGTAGCCATGGAACACGGGCCATGTTCTAGGAGATGCCCATGGATGAGGACCTCCTTCCCAGGGTCAGCCCACAAAGGCTTTCCCATGACCCCCATCGAGGCCAGCTTTGCCCATGAAAGTGTCCAGGAAAGGAAGGCACAGGGGTCCTCAGTTCCTGCTCCAAACACCATGGCACTGGGCTGGCCCACTGCACAGTGAAGATTTCCACCTATGGTACCACCCTGGTGGGCAAAAACCTGGAGGAAGCCAAGGCCAGGAACAGAAAGAAGGGAGAATGTTCCCTCCGGGTATAGTGGAAACCAAGCCTGGGCTGCCTCTTCTCTGAATGCCCCTCTCCAGCCACCCATCACCTCCCAGGGTCCTCCATGCACCACAGGGTCAAGAAGTCAAGCCTGCAAGAGTGTGGAAAGAAGTCAGCTCCTCTCCTTCCAGGCTGCAGGGGTCCTTCACATCCACCCTCCCACACATCTAGCGTCCTGCACCAAGAGCTCATGTCTGCAGGAATACAACCGCAGGTGGAGGGGTAGAGGAGAAGGCACTCCAGAAAACTGCTTTAATAGACCAGACCCATGGGCCTGGGAGGGTCCTTGAGATGAGTGGGCATCCTTGTGTGATCAAGGAGGAACCACGGGCACAGGAGTGAAATGGTCCAGCGGGGACCACTGGGGAGAGCCAGGCAGAGTAAGGACAGAAGGCAGGGCTTTTGGCCCCAGGGAGGCCACAGCAACTGCCGCCTCCCACCACCCGCTGGCCTGTCTCTCCCCAGGGAACTCTCCCACCCACCTCAAGCCTCAACTCTATGAGGCACAGGCCAAGCTCCCCCAAATCCACCAGGCCACACTGCAACCATCCCCAGGCCGAGCCAGTGCGCAGCATCCTAACAGCACACCCTCCCTCACCCAGTCCTCCCACCTGCAGGACCACACTTGAAACCAAAGTGGGGACAGGAGCTGGGGGAGGTAGGCTAGGGGGACGCCCTGCTTCTGGACCAGGAGCTTACCCACCCACCACATCCAGGTATGCTGGGAGCTTGTACACATGACCTGCTGTCTGCATGCACCTCCCGATGTGGGGTGCTCCTCTGTGGGGCTCAGGGCCTCTCAGAAACTGTGAGCCTTAGCTCCAGGGATGCCACACTCTCGCCCTCCCCGGATCTCACCTTTCTGGTTCTACGCTGTGAGGCTTACCCCTCAATTCTCCTCTAGCTAGCTCCCCCACCTCTAGAAAAACAAACAGACAAACAAAAAGCCCCTCCCAATCTTTAAACAGACGCAAATGTTCTACAAGCCCCTAAAAGCACCCTGCTCCAAAGTCGCCCTTCTCACTGCCAAGCCCTTCGGAGCCACACACACCATCCTTCCTCAGACATGGCTGGCAAAGGGGTGCTGGTGTTCTTGCTGCCCCTGTCTGGGGGCTCATCAGAGCCAGTGACGCCTCTGCGTGAGGCCTGCCTCCAGGCCCCTGGGGCACCTGGCCACATGTGACGTCCTGAAGCCCTGCTCCCCCTGGGCTGGGGCTCAGCCTGGCCACCTGCTCCTTTCCAGACCCAGTTCCTGCCCATCCTGTCACTCCACCTGCACGGCGGGGAGGCCTGGCAGGGTCGTGTGGGCATTTAGAACAGGAGAGAATGCGTCCTGATCTGGAGGGAGGGTGCTCCCTTCCAGTACTCAGGGATCATGTGGCCCATCGAGTTCTGCGGCATCTCAGCTGCCGGGAAGCTAAGGGCTCCAGCTCGGGAGCTGCCTCACCTGCGGCCTTTGGCCCCTTCCTTCTCAAGGCTCTGCGCTTCACTGCAGACCATCCTCTTGCACTCAGAGCTTATTTTAAACTGTCTTGATCAGTTTTTGTTGGCGATAAGGTATATCTGTTTCAGTAAGCAAAAGAGAGAGGCCCACCCCACCACCCTCACCACCACCCCCCATCACAGCTTTCTGAGCTGCAGCGAGCTCAGGGCACCCTCGCAGCGCCAGCAGGGCGGCTTCTCCGGGCCAGAGCCCTGCCTCCCCCTTAGCACCAGCCGCCTGGTCTCCCTGGCTGGCGGGACGAAGCCCCCGCTTCCCTCCGCAGCCTGTCCTGGCACTGCCAGGCTTCTCAACAAGGACATTTGCACTGACCCGCTCCACATTGCCCCCAGGACAGCCCGGACCTGCTGCCATGGGCTCCCACCTCCACACACTCACACCCACATACACTTACAGTCACACACATTCACACACTCATACTTTCATACACATTACCACACATACTTTCATACTCTCTTCCACACATACACATTTTCACACTCTCATATTCACGCACTATACACATTCGCACATGCTCCCTGACACATGCACTCACACCCTCACACACTCACGCTCGCTCTTACACATACACACCATGGGAGGCACTGTGGCCCGGCCACGCCCTCCCTGAGGAGCCCTTCTCTCTGGATCCTTCCAGCTGCCAGCTTCCCTGACCCTCCCTGAGAACCGGCGTCCCACAGAGATGTGCCTCACTGTCCACACCAGTGGCTGCTCTCATCACCCAACCACTGAGGATACCCAAACCTGCAGGGGCCCAGCCTGACCCCCTCGTGGACTCTCCCACCTTCCCCACACTCTCTCATTCACTCTTGCCTTTCATCACACGTGAGGCGCCCGACAATCCTAAGCCCATTTCTCCACCCCAGCCTTTTTACTGAGCTCCAGACCCACAAATCCAAATGACCCCAGACATTGCGACAGGGATAGCAGTGGCCCCCCAGGCACCTCGGGGCTGCATGTCCAATGCCCGCCAACCCAATGGTTCTATTGCCCCACAGTGACTTAACTAGGGAATATGGTGGTCGCCATTCACTTACCCATTCAAGCAGTATCTGTGGAGCGCTCACCATGTGCCAGGCTCGGGTGCAGGACAGGCGCAGAGCAAACAAAACCAAAATGGCTTCTGGCTCCAGGGAACTTCCAACAAGTCCCCCAATCCTGGCACATCCACTCACCAACCATCACTGAGACCACATACTTCTCTCCATGCCCCAGCTGCTATCCTAGTCCTGCCTGTAAGCTATATGGGAAAGAAGGCCGTACAGACCAGGTACGAGCTGTGACCTTACGCAAGTTATTTTCATGTCCCTATTTCCTCACTTAGCAGTGAGGAACAATACCCACCTCGTAGCAGCTGCAAGGATTAAATGAGATAAACCCGTAACAGACCAGTGCCCGGTACACGGTAAGCAGACCCTGAGCAGCTGCACTATCGGACCCCTGCCTCCAGCAGCCTTGCCTCTGGCCTCCCCCGTGGCCCATCCCGCCTAGGCAGCCGCCACCTGCAGTGCCCCGGGAGCCCTGCGTTTGCCTAGGCTTCTCCTGCTGACTCATCCCGGGCTTTCTCCTTCTCACTCTCCAAGGTTCAAGGGACCCCCTGGCCTCCCACGTGAGGCACATGCCCTCCCCCAGGGGGTCCACGAGCAGCCCACCCTGCCGCACTGGGATCACTGCCCAACGGCTCCTCTCCCCTTCTGAACTGGGTGCTCCTCAGAGAGCAGCATGCTCACCTCTGCACACCCAGGCCTTAGACCTGAGCACTGGACGCAACAGGAGCTTGATAAATGCTTAACAGCAAACAGGAAAAACACACACAGTATAAAGAAGCAAATTCCCACTCACTGTCACCACCACCAAAAATACCTTCCTAATACCTCGGCTGCGTTTACTCTATGCCAGGCTTTGTGCTAAGCTGTGGGACATAGTGATCATATCATCTAATCTTCACAATTACCCTGTTATGGGAGGACTTTCATTCCTGTTTCACAGGTGAAGGGATGGTGACAGAGGAAAAATTTTAAAACATGCTCCAAGTCACACAGCTTCTAAGTGGAAAAGTCAGGATTCAGACCCAGGACTGTCAGGCCCCAGACCCACACTCCTCCCCAGCACTAGACAGGCTCAGCTATCGGTGCTGCAGAATCTGCCGTTGGATTCATGAGAGCCCCTTCCTGATGGCCATGGGGCCTCACGGGGGAGGAGTGGGGCTTCCCTCAGAGGCAGGACTGAACCCCGTGAAGGGCCTTCTTAGGCCGGCTCTCAGGGTCTGTGACTTTAGATGATGAGTGTCTTGGGTTGTTCAACTTGTCTCCCCACCACCCCATGGTGCTCAGCATGAGGGCACAAAGTAGGCAGGTAATAGGCCCATGCTGGATGGATGGATGAATGGATGGATGGACGGATGGATGGATGGATGGATGGATGATGGATGGATGATGGATGGATGGGTGGATGGATGGATGGATGGATGGATGGATGGGTGGATGGGTGGATGGATGGGTGGATGGATGGATGGATGGGTGGATGGGTGGATGGGTGGATGGGTGGATGGATGGGTGGGTGGAAGACAATTCCTTGCACGCACATCCAAGTCACCCTCTTTGCTGGGCTCAGGATCATAATCCAGTGGGCAGGACACACAGAGGAGGGACAGCACCCACCGGCGGCCGCCCAGCACCAGGCTGGACTCTTACCGGCACAGGTGATCGGTCCGGCACAAGCTGCGCAGGTCCAGGCAGTTGGGCTTCTCCTTGTCCTCGTAGGAGCAGCTGGGCAGGATGGTCTGCCGGCGGCGCTCGGCACATGCCTGGTCCTGGCAGGAGCAGAAGAGCATGCGGTAGGTGTACTCGCTGGGCACCCGGTCGAAGAACTGGCGCAGCGCCTTGTGGCACTTGCGGCGGTTGCAGCGCTCGGTGGCTGAGATCTCGCGGTTGCAGATGGAGATGTAGGAGGAGCGCAGCTTCTTGCAGTTGTCGTTCAGGTTGCAGGCCTTGGCCGCGTCCAGGCAGTGGTTGCTCTTGGCGCTGACCGCAGGGTCTGCCCCTGTCCCTAGAGCGGGAAGGAGAGAGCAGGTCAGTAGCCCACACGGGCATGGGAGAACATAACCCAGCATTCCATATGCTCTCTGCTGCAGTTTCCTCAGCTGTGAAATGGGCTCACTTAACAGGCCCTGCCGCCAAGGTTGTGGCGAGGATCACTTGTTTAAATACGGGTCCATCCAGTGCTTAGGACAGTACCAGGTGCAGAGTAAGCTATGCATAGAGTGAGTTATCATGATGATGACTGTTGATCTAAAGTCTCATTTAAAGCTTATCACAAGCCAAATGGGCAAGCTACTGGGTGTTTATGGCCCTGCTCAAATGTAGGAAATGGGGAAATAAAGTGACAGGCTCAGGATTACACACCCAGGAACAGCTAAACCAAGATGGGCCCCAGACCCCAGAGCCTGGCCTCATAGTGGCAGCAGCCTTGCACAAGGCTTCTGGTCAGGGGCACTGCTGGCATTTAAGGGAGGACAATTCTCATTATGGAACCTTCAGAAACCAGGGTACAAATAGCACCATCCTCAGCACACCATTGTGACCACTGAAACTGTCTCCACACATTTCAGAATGCCCCATGGGGACAGAGGGCATGCCACTGCAGCTTGATAGTGTCAAGAACCAGCAGAAACAAAGTTCCAGCAGATGAGGTGGAGGCCGAAGGCCAGCCTCAAACTCCAACAAGCTGAGCACATAACCCACCAAGGAGTAGATGTGCTGGACGCCAGACGTTGGCGTTAATGCCGTGGATTGGGTCAGAGCCACGGCCCGTGGGGCAGAACACCATGGGCACAGATCAGGAGTCCTGGGAGCTGACAAGTGCCCTCTGTGGTGGCTGCTCCACCCCACAGGTTCTGGCTGTTCTGCGGGCACCACATAGCACAGGGACCCCCCAACCCTCCACAGCCAGCTGACTCCCCTGGCGGTGCACTTCTTGTCCATCCTGACGGGGATATAAGAATCCAGTCTGCACACGCCTTCTGTGACATTCCTGCGACAGCTGGATGGGAGATCCTCCAACCCTACCTCTTTATTTTACAGATAAGGAAGCTGAGGTGCCGGGTATACAAGGGGCTTGCCCAAGTGCGCCCAGCACACTGAGGCAAACCGGAGCAGGGATCTAGATCACACGAGCACCACGTGCAGCAGGTCAACCATTGGCTCAGGTTTTAGGATGGATGAACAACACATAGCATTTTCATTCATTCTTCATCTACCCAACAAATGATTTCAGCGTTTACTGAGCACCACCTCCTGCACCCAAGGCATCACAAGGCGGGGGATGGACTCGGGGCTCGGTGTGCTGGCACCCTGCCTCCTCCCATGGCTGGTCTGGGCACCTGAGCATCTCCGGCACTGGTCCGTGATTCTGACCTCTTGGTCATCAGCCATCTATCACACCCCCTTCTGCACAACCCTGTCTCTGCTGGGAGCTGTTTCGATACAGAGGTGTTAAAGAGGAGGCCACATTCTCAAAGAGCTCACATGCCCAGCTCGGAAACCAAGAGATGGACCAGCACAGTGGTCAACATCGGGTGTCAACCATTACGTCGTCCATCTCTAAGAAAAACAGACCTCCTGTGACCATACACTCACCTCAAAGCTCCCACCCTATGTTCCTGCTCCCCTTTAGAGCAAAACCCCTCAAGCAAGTCCTCTATACCAGGGGTCTCTTTCTCCCCCTCCGTTCTCTCCCCAACCCACTGTGGCCTGGTGTTTGCCTCCCCACCCACCGTCAGGGGCCCCAGAGCTTCCTCTTGCTCAGCCTCTCAGCATACCAGATGCAGGGGTCGCTCCCTCGGGCCCCCCTTTCCTCATGGCCTTCCACCCTCTGCTGGCCTTCCTGCGGGCCCCCTGCCTCTCCTTCCCAGCCTACTTCACGGGCTCTGTCTTCTCCACCAGAGCTCAGCACCCACGTTCCTCTATAAGCACCCACACCCCAAGGCCCTCCACTCACTTCATGGCCTTAAAACACCATCAATAAGTTGTCAACTCTGAAATCTCTGTCCCCAACCAGTCCTACCCTACCAAACCCCAGATTCTGATGTCTAACTGCCTGCTTGCCAACTCCATCTGAAGGCTGACCCCCGTATCTCAACATGCCCAAAACCAGACCCCACGTGTTCCCCCCAAGCTGCCCCATCCTGGTCCTCCGTATGCCTCTGAAAACAACTGCACCCTTCTGCTAGCTCGGGCTGAAAATCCCAGCACTTCCTTGACTCTGTTCTTGTCCATACACCACATCAGAAAAACCTGCCAGTTCTACCTCCAAGATAACTCCAGTCACTTTTCACCACCACCACTGCCACCACCTGGGCCCAGCCACTGTCAGCATGTGCTGGGAAGAGCCCCCTTTCCAATCCCCACTCTGTCCTGGCACCCACCCCCACCTGAAAATAATACTGTCATCATAGCTGGAGGGAACCTTCTAGAACCCAACGCAGAGAGATAAGGCTCCTGGGCCCCAAAGCTTCCAGTGTCTTCCCCCTCACTCAGAGGCCTTGGCTCTGTAGCTTTGCTGTCCAATACGGTAGCTACTAGCCACACACGGTCAATGAACTTGAAATGTGGCTAGCCAAAATGAGTTGATCTCGTTAGATTTTGAAAATACACACTAGATTTTGAAAATCTAATAAGAAAAATATAACGTAAAGCATTTCATTAATAATCTTTACTTCAGTTACACGTTGATGTGGTAATATTTTGGAGACATTGTATAAAACCTATTATTAAAATCAATTTCATCTGCTTTTTGTTTTTTTAATGTAGTTACCAGAAAATTTAGAATTACATATATGACTCATATTTCTAATAGCCAGTAGTGCTCTATATGACCTCACCTCTTCCTCCTTCCCTTGGTCACTCACTCCATTCCAGTCACACTGGCCACCTTCTTCTGTCTAGAGCGTGTCCTGACCTCAGGACCTTTGCATCTGGTGTTTCCCCTGCCTGGAAAGCTCTCCCCAACCCCCATGACCAAAAAACTCCTTCCTCACGTCTTTCAGGTCTCTGCTCAAATGTTACCTTGTCTGTGAGTCTTCTCTGACCACCTTACACACAGTGACAACATGCAGTTGTTTTACTCCTTTTCCTCCCCGAGTCTTACCTCTTTTCCCCATAGCACTCATCACTGTCTGCCATAATATATGCTTTCTTACTCATTTGTTTGTCTGCACCAAATATAAGCTCCATGAAGGTAGGGCTTTGTTGGTTGTGCTCACTGCTATATCCACAGTTCCCAGCGTTTGGTGCATGGTGGATGCTGAATACATATTTGATGAGTGAAAAAGTAAATGTACTTAGAACAGTGTCTAGTTCATAATAAGCGCTCAAAAAGTGTTGGCTAATATTATTAAGGAAGCCAACTGACACTGAGCCAAAATAGCAGTCAGTACAAGACCATGTCTAATCGAGTATCAGTGTGAGGCCCAGCCCACAGGCGCAAGTCAATGACAACCGATGGGGCTGGCAGAGGGCACAGCCAAGCAGCCTGGGGCCGAGGCGGAGGAGAGCAAGGAAGGAGAAGGACCCCAGGGAGGAGCAGGGCGACAACCACAAACAGAACAGCAGCTAATTCGGGCCTGCGGCTGCTCTCAGGTTCCCCAGGTGCCCTGTTCCCGCTCCTCCCAGCGTGTCCCTGAGCTAATGCTGGGGTAATTATAGCCTCAATGGTTTCCATTTGGAGCTTGAATAGTGGAAGCTTTTGCTAGAGGGGTGGGAAATGTAATCCCTTGGGCCGAAACTTGGTAAATTTCCTAGAAAAAACACAGAAAAAAGTGGAGATAGCAACAGCAATTGCTTAGTTCCCAGGAAGATACCCCTGAGGTCCTCCTGGAGCCGACACAGGGTGAGCGGCCCGACGACCCCCCAGCTCCACGGTGGGCAAAGGCACAGCAGTGACCTGCACGCTGATTCTCTGCTGGCCCTTCCCCAAGCAGGCCTCAGCTCTGCCTCTCCTCTGAGTGAGGAAAGGAGGCCCACCTCACCGGGCACAGGCCTCGGCCTCTGAACTAAAATGTCCGAAGGACAGGGAGGGGTCCTTTGCTGCCCTGCCCCATCCGTGCACAGACCGTACAGGACCTGCCAGGGACTCAGAAACCAGAAAGTCATCCCAGGCCAGACAGGCTCCTATGCACACGGGTGTCCCAGGCTTAAGGAAAGAGCCCAGACGGGCCAAGGAGTAAATGGTGAACAGCTGTCAAGGGAAGTAAGCACACCTGGAAGTTTCCAAACCTCCAGCTCCAGGCCCTGAGGACACATTCCAGCTTCTTCCTCCCCTCCTTGGGGAAGGCAGGGCCGCTGCAGGCAGCCTCCCTCACCCACCTCTCCTCTTCCCTCCCAGGGTGCTGCCCTAAGCCAATGGCTCTCTGTCCTCACATCTTCAAACCAATGTCCTTAGGATATCTGTCTGACATTTATACAGAGCTGGGTTTACCAAACTGCGGTCAGCCGGGCCCCACCTATGTCATCTGGGCCATGCTCACAGTACCACCTGCACTAATATTTAATTAATTATCTTCTTTAAATCTCTTAATGCTTACATGAAATGTTTGAATTGCCTCAATTGACTCACTTTTTAAATTTTTCAGTACCTACCTAGATTTAACCTAAATGAGAACATCTATGTTAGTTTTGAACTTTTCAAATATATGTTAAAAGGCACTGCTATTAAAATTAAAATATTTATTCCTATGCCCATCTCCCATTCCAACACTGGCACACATGCACTGGGAAGGAAGTAACTGATTGGGAGTCAAGGTTCTAAACCATTGGTGCATTTGTGCCTCACTCAAACCACCTGTTCACACCGATGCACGGGCCGCACACCAGACCCTCTGAGTCAAGAGCTCTGTGGCTTGGCGCCCAGGAATCTGGATGTCACAAGCTCCCAGAGGTTCTGAGGTGCCTGCCAACATGGGAGAGCCAGTGACTTGAAGCTGAGTGCCCACAGCCTGCCCCCCAGACACACCCACACCATGCCCAGCGTGCAACTTACCAATCCCACCC